CGCAGTGCCGTAAGAAAGGATATTTGTGATCCATAAACCAATTCTCAGCTCGCAGACCTTTCTTCCTAAAGCTGCTGACATTGCATCGACAAATGGTTTCTTTTGTAACATACGTATGTAATTGTATATTATGGCAATTTTCAGTAATTCTTTCTTTTGGTAAAATACCTTTTTCTGGTAAAAACCTATAGCTTCCTTTTCAGATGACGGTACACTGAAAATAATATATATGATAAATATTTGCAATAAAACTATCTTTTAAAAGCAAAAATTTTTACTAGTCGAAGAAACCAGGGCTGTGGAGCCGTTAGGGAAAATGACCGACTCCGACTCCTGGAATTTTAAAGACTCCGACTCCCTTATATATACACATGGGTTACAGCTTATTTTTTTATATAAAAGAAGTAATAGATGCTACAGAAAAAAAATGATGGCTTAGCAAATTATTTATATTAATTAGCATTTATTATTAAATAAAAAAACTGGCATTAGTTATTTCTAAGAAACAGTATAGCTTCGGCAAGATCTTTGTTGGAGGGCCATAGATCCGATTTGTTCTAAAAAAAAGTGTCTTGCAAGCGCAATCCTATTTTCTATTTCTTCAAAGGCCGTGTAAAAATCTTGTTTTTATTTTTTCATTTTTATATCTAAAGGCTCTTGGTTCTTTATATTCATTTCCTTTGCCTTAGCCTTTTCAATGTTATCCAAAAATATTTCTTAAAATCTAATTCATCGCTGGAAGAGGATGATAGAGACTCAAATGCAATGTCTGCAGTTTGACTGTCCTAATTCGAATCCTCTAATTGTTCTGAGAATAATTTCATTCTTAATGAAAATTCATAGATGGCTTTCTTTGCCTTTTTAATAGTGGCGTAGCGAGAGGGGGCAAGGGGGTGTATGATGCCCCGGGCGCCGCTTTCAGAGGAGCGCCAAATGGTCTCCAAACAATATTTTCCGGAAAATTTCAGTTTTTATTTTGATCGATTTCTGGAAAATATATTTAAAATTAATAATTATTGTAATCTAATTAATTACTTTTTTCCTCGATTTGTCTGATAAAATGTTTGCAGTACATCAACCAAATATCTCCGCATACAAAATGTTCTTTCTGACCACTTTATTTTTCTAAAAATAGAGATATAGTTTTATTTTTAAAAAAAAAAAAAAACGTAATGCACGTATAGCTTCCGCTTTTTGTTTTAAAACGATAACACGACATTGTTCTGAATTTCTCAAACATATCCGGTTTTCAAAAACCGATTCCATAATTTGGAAATGACGTTTTGGGAAACTCCTAAAGTTTCCGCTAGAATGGATTGTGTTTGACTCTTCTGTAAACGACTGATGGCCTTCCTGGCTACCGATTCTACCGATTAGTCATCTTGCTGAGACATCGTATATTCATTGCTCCAAAGCATTCAAAGCGTGTCAGTTGTTTTTAATCTCCTTCTACAGAAGGAATGCTGCACGTCGCTCTTTACTCCTTATCTAAAACGCACAGTTTTCAGCGTCACAGACTAAATTTGCACATTCCCAACTTCGTAAACGAATTTTCTTTTATAATCTCTTCTATTTCCTCTTGTTAAAAAGGTTGTCGATTATGTTTATTTTATACCGTAATATTATCCCCTAATTGTTTTGGGCAGGGAATGTGACTGCAAAACGTTACTCCGCGGTAGAAAAGACACTAAATCTAAAACTCTATTACAGATCTACGGAGAAAATGTTTTTCCAAACCTAAGAGACGCATTTCAAATATTCCTTATTATTTCATTATCAAATTCTAGCTATGAACTTTCGTTCAGAAAATTAAAATAAATTTTGACATATTTATAATCAACGATGGGAAAAGATACGCTAAGTCATCTAGCATTTTTAAATGTGGAAAGAGAAAAATTTGAAATGATCGACTATGATGAAGTAATTGATAAATTTGCTTCATCCAATGGCAAGAAAAATGTATACATACTAATTAATTGTATTAATGTATTATTATATTGTTATAAATAAATATAGATACTTATAATATATATTAAACTTTTAATTATTTAAAAATTGTACTTTTTTTAAAAACAATTATACAAATTTGTAAAATAGATAATACCTTTTTAACTAATTCTAGATCATTGTATGTCTGAATTTTCCGCGGACACAGATATATTTCCGAATCCAATGCTAGTGTAGTTAGGTAGTGACTATTCTTAATAATATTGTTACGAAATGTATAGACGCGGTAAGATGGCTTCCCCGCAAAGCAGTTTAGGGTTGCCATAAAATAGCAAGGAAGGCAGGGTTGACACATTTGGCTAGAACTCGGCCATGGACGGATGGAGAACCTTCTGAATCGAATTCTTATCTGTTTAGCTCAGAATGTTCTCGAACACAAGCCGAAAGCTATATAAACCTTGCTGGTCCGCAGTGAGTTAGTTAGTTCGTCTCGTCAGTTAGTCCGTGTGGAGTCGATCGAGTTGACAGTCGGTCAGCGAGTGCCGAGTGCACCGAAAGCATCGTCGAGAGTGTGTTGTGCTCCGGGAACGACTGAACCGAAGTGTCGGGAGCTGTGTTCTGTGCGTCGTCGAATGCATCGCGAGCTGTAGCGTGGAGAGTCTCGAGAGTACGTGGAGTTCCGAGAACGACCAAGCAGAGTGGGGAGCTGTACTCTGGTGCTTTGCAGTGAAGCTGTCTCCACCGTTATTATCTGACATTATGAAGGCTGTGTCGCTGATTGTTCCAGCTTGTTTACAGTAGATCTTCGACGACTTAAAAGTGTTTTGGAACTGTCCTGATTAATATTGGTAAATAAAGTGTGTTCCGATATTCCATCAAGTTCTGTCGTCGTTATTCACTCCAAATCCACACGAACGTGAAGGAAGAAAATAATGGAATAATACATTTTAGAGTATTTTATGGCAGATTCAGTATTTTATTATTATTTGCATTATTTTCTTATTATGAATATATGCTATACATAATACTACTGTGTTTTCTTGGGGGGCGCTAAAAAGGTATTTTGCCACGGGTACCAGTTATGTTCGCTACGCCACTTCTTTTTAATTTGTTCGTCATTCAAGAAAATTCAATGTTTCGGATCTACATATATTGAACCCAGCAAGATCTCATTGTCTAGCAAACTAGTTTCTCTTTTCTTCATTGAAGAAATTATTCCTTCTGCAATAAACTCTCCATTTCAGAAAGAACAAACATCACATTCTTCCATTCTCACCTCCTGTCAATTCTTCAGATTGCAGCTTTTTTGTGGCTATATACGGTGTAGAAAGAAGAGTTTCCAATTCTGCAAGATCATTCCACAGCCTTTTAGTGAAACATTAGAGTTATCTACATCTTCTAAAAAAAGTTCTTAATTCTAAGAACCTCTTTATCATCAAATATGTACTTCCTTATCGCATTTCTTGATCAATGATTGCTCCTTTTCCTGTTCGCTTCCTAAGAATGGCATCAATTTTGGGAGTTCTTGCTGCTTACCTAAATTTACCAGTGAGATTTGTAACTAAATGAATCAGTTTAATTACTAATGGCAAATATCACATCCATCCTCCTTCCTTATATTTATTTATTAATGTGTCAATAAAATAGAAAATAACTATTTATTAATGTGTATAGTTCATAAATAAAAATAATAACTCAGCTTGTCATTAATTTTTTTTTTCAATTCATTTTCAATTTATTTTAAATTCAAACTGTCCAACAAAAACTGGAGTCGGAGTCGAAATGTTTTTAGCGACTCCAGCTCCGACTTCTTTTATCCCAAAATCTGCCCGACTCCGATTCCGACTCCACAGCCCTAGAAGAAACGTGAACAATGAATACGCACGAAACACCACCATATTTTAAAATCGAAAGTAGAAGCAATGCACATGCGCAGATCGACAGCCGTTGATAAAAATCGCTATTTTAAAAGCGGAATTTTTTACTTGCCGAAGAAACGTGAACTGCGAGCCCAAATGAAAAACCATTAGATTTCAAAATCAAAAGTAGAAAAATTTCATATGCGCAGAACATCGGTAAACCATAAACGCTTGTTTCTCTCTATTTCAGAAACGCACCAAATCAGCAGTCTCGAAAGGCCATTGCAGAAGACAAGTACCGTAATCCCTTTTTGTAAAGTTGGGTTAGAAGTGCGAACATGCATTTAATCCTTTCCGGCACGCTACCTTTTAAAGTCGGAGTTTTGATTAAAATAAAAAAAAAAGTAGGCAGTCTAATTAGGCCTACAGGAGTACACAAGTAAAATTTTGTGAAGATAACACTTATCTTTTTAATTCTGTGGGTGTGCCCAAAGTGGCGCACTGATTGAATAGAGCTTCGAAAAGAGTGCTGAAACGAGCATTGCTGTCAATGAACTGACCGATGAGATGCGGAGAAATAAGAATACAGACTCTCAGTTGTCCTAGATTATCGGTGAGCCCAGTCTGGGCACACCTAGGGTTCGCCGTTTGATTTTAGGCAAGATTTCAAGGTAAAAATTTAAAACTAATATAGAAAAACATACAGTATACAGCCAAAAAATAACATAGAAATTTCTTTTCAAAAAATTACTTTTATATCCTAAAAAAATCTGGATGATTTCTTTGAGAAATGAGGGTCTTAAAAAACTAAACATGGCTAAAATATATGGACTGTTTTGTGTTGAGCTGCCATCTATTATAAATAAAGAAGGTTCAGAGTAACCTATAGTAATCTATAAATCCTTTTCATTCAATTTTTCTGTGCATACAGAAGGAAATTTTTAGGTGTGTCCAGACCGGACACACTGTGCCACAAAGGGTTAAAGCTTTTAAGTCTCAAAGTCTTTTAAAGTTTGATTTTTTTTTCTCCCACGTTTTATACGATGGTCTGCCCTTGTGTTGTTGTCTCTTTCATGATTTCGTTCACAACATTTTCGGAGGACACCTTTCCGTTTAACCGAATTTGTGTCTTATTGTTAGTGGACAATTTATAGACAAGATGTTCGTGAATTTATAAGAGCCACCGAAGTCTGATTTTAGAGGCATATTCTTACGAGCTTTATTGAGATATACACAAAGTCTATAATACAATTTTTGAATGGTGGTTAAAAGAGGAAACTCATGATGGGGATTCTGGACAAAAAGGTGGGAATCGTCTTCCTGAGGTAACGTTGCTGAGTACTTGTTGGACACCTTGCAAGAAGGTGGCAGTGACGGACTCCAGCAGAGATCTTGCCAGCTCCATTTGTTCCCTCATGAAACCTTCTTCCCACCTCTGTTGGAGTTCCGTCTGACGCTCAAACCATTGCCTGTAAGACTCTTGACGCCACTTGTCTTGCTCTTCATCCTTGCCCAAGACGACTGAAAAATACAGAATAAACTAATAGTCCTGCATACAATTTGTAGTCAAATTTTAACTTCAAAAAATATTAGATAACATTTTTCAAACATAAAATGCTAACGTCATGGCAGGAAAAACCTTAACTTTAAATTCGACAGATGTCAGAACAAGTCAATATCGGACTCTAATTTGCCACGAAAGAGCCGATCGTGGATAGCCACCGATTTAGAGTTAAAGAGCAAGTGAAAGTTCTGATATTTTTGAAACAAATTTTATGACGGCAGAAAGACGTTTTGGTGCACACTTTAGTACAACATAGGCTCCTAGCACCCAGATGATTGGCAGATTGTGTCAGCAACTGGAATCCTCGAGGGCACCCATCCAGCGTCCGCACACTTAAAAATGGCAATAGGTCCCCCTTTATCTGAGGGGTTCATGCAAGACGGAGCCCGTCCACACACTGGAAATGGTTCTTGATTTCCTGTACGAAATGTTTAACGTGCATGTAATGTCCCATCGGTCTCCTGGGCATTGCAAAAGTGGGAGACAGTAGGCTCTGAATAGACATTAATCTATGTGATTAGCTTTATGAGATTTATTTGAAAGATTGGTATTCGTTGGGAAGCCTGCAAATATAACCCAACTCAACGCCCTTCCCCCCACATCGTGCAATTGTGCCCTGCAATTTCGGAAGACGTGTGCTGGAGTGTTGTGGCAAATGCAAAAGTTCGCAAGAAAAAGATGTGAAAGTGGTGAACACATTCAAAACATTCTGCACTAAACTTATGTTCGGACATTCATTTTGTAACATTTCGATGATAAATAAATGTGTAAGAAACAAAACAAAGGATAGAACATTTAGAGTACCACCATATATAATGAAATATGAAGGCATTGCCGCTAGCAACAACTGCGTCTTCGAATAAAGATAATTAACTGCGCTTAGCTTTGAACGCCCATGGGAAACTCATGACTGCCTTTGTTCAAATAATATTGTTTAACAATCTTCATACGATAATAATAATTATTAATCTTGTAAATTAGCAATAAATATGTTAGATATAAAATGTAATAGTATGCAATTAACATGCAACCCAATAATCGGTAATCACAGAGTCAACTTCTGTCTCATTTTGAGGATTTTCTTAGTAGGACATTTTTTAGCCAAGAAAAACAAATTAAGTCTTTGTTAATCAAATTTCATGTCTGAGTTTCACACACACTTAGGTGTTTGTAGTATAAGAAACAGAATAACTTACTTCGGGGTTGTGATTGTTCAGACGATGCGGTAGTTGTATTATCAATTTTGACATCTGAGGGAAATTCACCATCCCCTTCTATAAGTTCCACTTGGACATCTACCTCCGGCATCACTTCATCTAGCAAAGAAATAAGGAAAATGATTCAATTTTCGAAACATAATTATCATTTATTGTATTTCATTTACCAATAATTATTACTTCATAAAGGCAGCATAATATACGGGATGATCGAAAAGTACCGCAAATCAAAATAAGTAAGTAAAGCTTGCTAGTTTAATGCATAAAGTACAATATATACTCGTACACTAATGCCTGTTGCCTTACATCGTTACAAACGCAGCATCAATTGACGTCTTTACAACATATGTCACTTCTATCAACAGCAACGGCTGCAGTCCATCATTTGGGAATCAAGTCGAACTGAGCTTGGATGACAGCCACGGGTATTTCATTCCATGCAACTTGAGCTGCATACCAGAGTTCATTAATCATAGTGACCAAAATAAAATACCAGGATTTATTAATCATACCGAGTGGTGGAGTGCCAGCCTGTCAAAAACCCAGAATGAAACATTATCATCCTGAGTTTCATCATAAGAGAGATCTGCAAGGGCAACTGTCGAACATTCCCTGCATCGAGGAAAGTCAGGACAACACGAATGGCATCTACACCACTCGCCAGATGCTGGGTCCGCATGACGATGACGAATGAAAGCTAGCTATATTCCTTCTCCCTGGTGCCACACACGAATACGTCCACTTTGATGCTGTACGCGTAACCGGGATTCGCGTGAAAAAACGACGTGATGCCACGAATGTGTCCAATATCATTGTTCGACGCACCACTTTAGGCGTGTCTGTCTCTGCTGCAACGTTAAGGAAAGCCTCAAATATGTTCGCTGCTCTGATAATCGATGGTATTGCAGAAGTCGTTGCACTGCCTGTGCACACAATTGTCGTTCTGCCTAGGAGGCAAGTTCCTAATTCAGCGTGTGTGACTTGGCTACACGATCCTGCAAAGCCGAGAGGACAGCATGTCTAACCATTAGTGGCCCCATGGCTGCTGAGATCCTGCATGGCGTTCAGTACGACCCTCCTGGACCCATGGATTAATAGTCATGAGATCCCAACTAGCATGAGCAGCAATGTTGTGGAACGATAAATTATACTCCCAATAGGACACGACCCTGCCGCGGTTGGAATTGTGCTTGTAGGAGTTTCTCCTTTTTACACGAAGCATGACTGGCCTTTACACAAACCACAAACGTTCAAATGTGATTTCCAAACGAGAAACCCCCTGTGCAGTCTTCCCATTTATACACAATACACATGACGTTACACATATCTGCTTTGTGCGCGTAAGCTAGAATGCTAATTATTTGCATATCTTACCGTGTAATATTTATCATGCAAATCTGACGATTCTTGCATGCTGCTTTATAGCGTAGCAATTTGAATGGCCAACAGAGTAGAGAGATCATGTACAATTGCAGCTTTTCGTCAGGCTGCAAATAACAATTCCACGTGATCAACTGCTTTTTAAAAAAACGGATTTTGAAAAATTTCGAGTAATTTTAGAAAATTAAGTCCAAAAATCTTTAAAAAATGTCAAAAATAATAAATAAAAATATAAAAATTATTTTTAAAAATCAGTAATTAAAATGTAAAAAAACCACTCACATTTTCTTTAAATACACTCAGAAATAAATTTAAAAAAAAAGTTGATAACGTGAAATTGGGGGTCTGCCTCTCATGAATATTTGCAATTACACATGACCTTTTCTGTTTTTGCATTTTCCTTTAATAAATATGTCTTTTGTTTTTTGTCTCGTAAGCATGCCAACCATGAAAAATATAACATTTCTTTTACATATTTTCTTATTTAGTAAATGCAAATAAAGTGTGATTAAAAAATACCTGGGAAAAGTGTACAGGCAGGTAGAAGGGCTCGAAACAAGCAGCTTTTCGTAACGGAATGCGTGTGTGGATATGGCGCGTTGAGGTGATATAAGGCGCTGTCGAGCGGTAGATATAAGGGTTTATCTAGCATTTTTATTTATTTATTTATTTATTAGTCCAAAGGGGTTTTGTCCCTGAAGGACTATTGTTTTCGTTTTGCGATTTTGCGTTGAATCACTATAAATGTCCGTTTCACTTTTTAAACTGTTGCCACCAAATGTTACGAGTCCTGCAATATATTTGAAGAAATTAAATAATGAAAAATCTGCATAAATGTACGTATATTTTTCGCACTATGATAAAACAATGGAACATAAAGCCAACGAATTTTGAATGACGTAATCCTACTGCGAATATGGGCATCTGGAAGCCCGAATTTGAAATTTGTAATTTGATTTATTATCGATTTCATATTTTTTAAAACTTTAAAGAATTTTTGAGTAACAAACTCGAGGATTTCAAAGCGAGCAATGGCAACCTTGTACAGAAAAAACATTTTTATCTCCAACGTGTGAGACTGCGTATTGGAAATTCTAAAGATATGCTCAATTTAAAACTATTTTGCGATATTGCTCTTGAACTGAATTTTATGGTTTAAGTGCAAAGAACGCGACATTTAATAAATAAAGATAACAGACAAAATGTTTAAAAAATGCCCCTTTGGACGTAATTTAAAATTTGAAACGTTTCAGTTTTTTTTTTTTTTTTTTTTTTTTTTTTTTTTGAATAGTCATTCCTCGTCTAAATTTCGAGTGGTATGCATCGCTACACAAATGCGGATGTCGCCGATATGCATTCCATCTGTAAAGCTGCGGCTAAGGCGTAGTAACTACTCAAAGGATATGCGGAGAACAATCACCGAACGCCTCCTTTGAGCAGCTAATCCGTTTCAACCCGCAGCACCATAGAACGCATAATGGCTAACGTCCCGTTCGTGTAGAGATGCATAATGTTAGAAATTCGCATGGGGAATAACAATTTACGCCATCAAAACACTTTTATCTACCGCGCTCAAAATCAAGGGCTGTGGAGTCGGAATCGGAGTCGGGCAGATTTTGAGGTAAAAGGAGTCGGAGCTGAAGTTGCTAAAAATAGGTCGACTCCGACTCCAATTTTTGTTGAACAGTTTGAATTTGAAATGAAATTTAAATGAATTGAAAAAAAATTAATGACAAACTGAGTTATTATTTTTATTTATGGACTATATACATTAATAAATAGATATTTTCTATTTTATTGACTTATTAATAAATAAATATAAGGGAGGAGGATGGATGTGATATTTGCCATTAGTAATTAAACTGATTCATTTATTTACAAATCTCACTGGTAAATTTACGTAAGCAGCAATAGCAACAAGAACTCCCAAAATTGTTGCCATTCTTAAGAAGCGAGCAGGAAAAGGAGCAATCATTGATCAAGCAACGCGATAAGGAAGTACATTTTTGATGATGAAGAGATTGTTAGAATTAAGAACTTTTTTAGATGTAGATAACCCTAATGTTTCACTAACAGAAAGACTGTGGAATGATCTTTCCGAATTGGAAACTCTTCTTTATATACCGTATATAGCCACAAAAAAGCTGCAGTCTGAAGAATTGACAGGAGGCGAGAGTGGGAAGTTTGTTCTTTCTGAAATGGAGGGTTTATTGCAAAAGGAATCATTTCATTAATGAAGAAAAACAGAAATTAGTTTGCTAGACAATGAGATCTTGCTGGGTTCAATATCTGGAGATCCGAAACACCGAATTTTTTTGCATGACGAACAAATTAAAAAGGCAAAGAAAGTCATCTATGAACTTTCATCAAGAATGAAATTATTCTGATAAAAATTGGAGAATTCCAATCAAGACAGTCAAATTTCAGACATTGCAATTTTGTCTCTATCATCCTCTTCCAAAGATGAATTAAATTTTGAGAAATATTTTTGGATAATATTGAAAAGGCTGAGGCAAAGCGAATGAAAATAAAGAACCAGGAGCCTTTAGATATAAAAATGAAAAAATACAAACAAGATTTCTACCCAGCCTTTAAAGAAACATGATTGCGCTTGCAAGACACCTCTTTTAGAACTGATAAAAAATCTATCCTGAAAAGTTAAAAGAAGTCGCCCTAACAGTAACAGCTCTTCCTCCTACTCAAGTTAGTGTGGAAAGACTCTTCCCAGCTTTGAAGTTTATCAAATCGAAACCCTCCAGCAAAGAAGATCTTGCCGAAGCTATACTGTTTCTTAGAAATAACTAATGCCAGTTTTTCCATTTCATAATAAATGCTAATTAATATAAATAATTTGCTATGCCATCAGTTTTTTTTTGTAGCATCTATTACTTCTTTTATATTAAAAAAATAAGCTGTAACCCATGCGTATATGTTTATATGAGGGAGTCGGAGTCAGAGTCAAAAACACCTTGTACCAACTTAACGCTCCACTTCTGCATACATGTTCCATTACAAATCTTATTGTCTGTCTACCAGGAGAAGTGCTTTCGCATTGTATTTAGTTGGTAGCCGTAGCTATAGCAACAGGACTAATGTATTCCAAGTAGGGTTGAGCCAGTGAATGCTTTATTGTTATTTTGTTTTTGACGAACGATAGCAGCAAGAAAGAGAAAGTTTAGAGAAAAGCAGTTCGTCAAAATAGATAGTCAGCTGCAGATTATCTGCCGGAGCTATTCTTGTGATATGTAGAGAGCGTTTCGGTCCCCCCTACCTTCCTTCACAATTTGCCCAGATATATTTGAACTACCGTGTATGATTCTATGGATTTCTTGAGGCAAGAAAGTTTAAAGAGTGTGTGAGACAATATATGAGTTATATGAGAATATTATACTCACTGTCATCTATTTGTTCGTCTTGGCGGGTGAGATTGAAACCGAGGGAGTTCAGCTCTCTGACGAAATCCTGGAAGCGAGTGCAGGACTTGAGGGCTGCCATAACGCTATCGTCTGTGGATTGTTGCTCTCTGGGAGCACCCCTCAGTCTCTCTCGCCGCCTCCTCTGTCGCTCTGCCTCGTTCAGCAGCCTCCTTAATTTCGACTGTGACTAAAATAAAATAAAAAAATATAAATAAAAAAATGCATGAATTGAAAATTTGAAGCGTTTGGAAGATTAGATGCCATACTAGCAACAACATGCAGCCTGAAAATTCTAAAGCTGAACCTTAATTTCGCGTTGAATTCTGATGGAAGAATCTAGGCATTTTGAAAGACAAACAAAAGGTATCTCTCCTTCAGGAGTACTTCCCTTTTCACATGAGCCCTTACACATAATTAAATTAAGTCCCTCTGTTCACGCAAAACGGTAAAAATTGTAAGGAAATTTGGGGGATAAGATAAAAAGTTTTAGATAAAAAATTAATATGATTTTTTTTTTCCTTTTCCTCTTCCTTACCCCCCCGTATCGGTTCATTAGCGGTCGAGTGATAAAATCGCTGGACCCTGGTATTTCGAGCCCGGTTCAAATCTTGGTGAACGGGTTCCGAGTTTCCATACTTTCAGCATGTAGCGAAACGGTTTAAGGCCCAAAGCACAGAGAATTCATCCATCTCTGAGGTTTTTCCGCAAGGTAACGTAAATACTTGCCCAGTCTGTAGAGGGGTTAGTGACGTCAGCGCCACCAGGGGTAACCTTTTTCAAGAAAAGTCTAAAGGGCCGTTCCCACCGGTTTTTATCTGAGCTAACGGAGTCAGTTCCATGTGTCGACTAGCTCCGCTATACCTGCAAATCAGATTTTTGAACTTGCTGCCGTATGGGAAAAAACTGGTTTTGGAGATGAGTCGGCTACTCAGCTATCCTTAGCTCAGATAAACCTCAGTGTGAAGGTCCTTTAACAGTGTTATGTTACCGCGGCAGATGCTATCCACTATTAACAACCAAGTCCTGCCTTGGAAACGGCAAGGAGTCCACACATTTATTGAAACTCAAAGTTAAAAAAAAATATGTATATATATTGGCAAACAAGGCCCATTTAAAATCATACTTACATATACAACTAGGACTAGAACTACACCCCCAATTGTGCAAAATTACTTGTTTATTAGGGAACTGCGGTGTAGTTTAGGTGGTATTTATTACTACCGTCACGAGCGCGCAGCCGCGGGGCCGGGAGCTCAACAGACCGTGGCCGAGTCTATAGCTATCGCCACTGACTGTTAACCAGAGAACAGGGGCTCCATTACCTAGCTGACAAAGAAAGACCGTACAAAACTAGAAAGAGGACCAGACCAGACAGGGAACCCCAAGACGTACAACGTCAACGCATACCAAACGGCGGCCTATGCGAGATATTAGTGAAATCCCAGGATAACGACGATATAAAAACAAACTAAGTTAGCTGTCATAACCTAAACTTGAAGTTAGCTGTCATAACCTAAACTTGAAGTTAGCTGTCATAACCGTGGGGCCTACGCTCACTAAAATGACGAGCCACCATTTGATACCCTTAAAGGCCGGTACTGAGTTGCCAGCCCACTCATTCACAAACTGTAGAAATTAGGCCCATTCAACAAAAATCAGCATCTGCATTCCCAGTGGGCATGTGGGATTCGTCAGCAAATGTGATATCCTGAATCCGTCCGTAAGATTCGAGACACACTCACTGATATAGCAGATTTGGCTTTTGCATCGTTAAAAACGACGAGCCACCAATTGAAACCTATAGTTATAGCGCCGTTAAAACGACAAGCCACTAATTGAAACCTAATACTGCGAGGAGGGCCTAGTGTGCACTCGCCAACAGGACCCGTGACCCCCTCATCGACGACCCACTAATTGAAACCTAATACTGCGAGGAGGGCCTAGTCTGCACTCGCCAACAGGACTCGTGACCCCCCTCATCGCAGCACCTTCCTCCCCGAACATAGTTAGGCTGGTTGAGTAGCACGCCTCAACTGGGTTACGTAGTGGCGCCACGAAGAGGCCTATGTCCGAGCTAGAGTAGCGAGAGTCTTTATATTCGCATCATCCACCCTATAGCTTCGCCGACCTTTCAGATTCGGAACAGTCAGGCTCCAGGTCACCTTCCAAGTGGCCGAATCCTATGTCCAGGTCGCCTTCCACCAAGTGGCCGGATCTGGACCACCCATCTGAACCTTATCCTTAAGGAGGCTCAGCTATTTGCCACCACTTACATATACAGTTATACTACAAAGGCAGTTGAATTACACAGTTCTTTTATTATCAGAATCGCATATAGACACATGTTACCAGTGCAGATAATGTTGCTACAGCTTGCAGAGGCAGTGCTACGTAAATTTCAAAATGAACGTATGCACTTAATCAAATAAGTAGTGCACAGTAGTGGTAACTACAAATAAATCTCGATTACATATATAAACAATATAGAATTTGCCTTCAATGCCTCAACATTTGTCCTCATTGCCCAGATGACATCCCACTGTCTCGCCATCACATCTTCAGCTGCCCAGCAATCCAGGCCAGGACTGTTTAACATCGGCATTGAGGACCCAGTAGACCTACTTTATACTGATAGAGCTGCCGAGGTTGCAAAAGCTGTCTTTGACAGCTTCGGAGCTATATGATTGCACTTTGTCACAGACACGACATCATCATCATCAACAATATAGAATATCAACAATATTAAAAAAACCCTCAATTATAGACAATTTATGCATGCTGCTACAATATTGAACGGAGTGGCTTTCGTATAAAATGTATTATCTCTGCAAACAAAATATCGTAAAGACTCTTGACTAAATATAGGTTATATTTTTCATTATTCCAGTGCACTGCTGAAACGAAGCCAATAACTATTTACATAATTGAACATTTGACGTAAAAAAGAAAAAAAAAAAAAAAAAAAAAAAAAAAAAAAAAACGAACACAATGCACCCAGTGATGCAGTCACATACACAGTAAGACTTGTTTCATTATGCCTAATGCTACACAATTCATTGTTTTGCACTGATCATCAAAATTAAAGGATGATGACAGAAATAAAAGGTAACTTAATGAAAAACTATTAATAGAAATTTATACAAAAGCATTAGTTAACATAAATTACAATCCTTGGCAGTTGATTATTCGCGAAATTTTGAAAATGAAACAATTTATGGAATTTGGAAACCATGGAAAAATTAAATCATCTATTGCGGGAAAAAATATTTCTTTAATATGGTGTATGATCATCTCAGATACATATGCATACTACACATCTTGATTTCATAGATTTTACCAAAGTGTTGATCAAGTCTTGTGGAAATGCACGCCATTTTTCTAAAAGTGCACTTTTCAGCTCGTGGAGAGTCCAGGAAGGAATTTCGCGCGCTGAGGTTCGGTGCCCTGTGGCATCCCAAACGTGCTCAGTCGGGTAATATGCCACTTCAGACTCTTCCTCCTCTTAAATTTCCTTCATATGTCCTGGTTGAATATACTCACGAATGAAGTCACGATATAGAGAGAGATAATTTGGATCTCTCGACAAGCGAGTCCACAGCGATCTGAATGTTTTGAGAGCAATGTCCCTAGAATGACCTAAACATGAAGGATCATATTTAAGGGTCATCGTTCCCACGTACGCACCCTCCTCATTTCTCCAGTGCGTTCGCACAAAATGTTCCTCACATAAAATTTTCTTTACTTTTGGTTAATTCTAAATCTTTATTTTCAATTTCCCAAAACTTTTTCAGTGTTTTATTTAAATCCTCTTCTCGTATCAATCCGCAATGTATCTTAGTCTCATTTCCCTGATCTACAATTCCGCTGGCAACATAGCCAAACACTGTATTTTGTAAAAGCAGCTTTGAATTTTGTGCATAGATTTGTCCCGGTCTCAATAATTCATAGAATATCTCTGCTACTAACAGCATATAAATTTTCCCTGGGATATTAAAACTGTAATCAGCTAATGGTGCCAAATCCGAAACTTCAATATTTACATCGAGTACATGATGTGGTGTAAGATCTGTAATTTTTTTCACTACAAGCAAATTTCTCTCTTTCTCAAACTCCTATTTTTATTAGCGATTGTTGTCGTAACGCAACCTTTCACTGTCGGACGAATCATTTAAACACGAGATTAATGTATTAATTTTTTCGCTTTTTAGTCGTAAGCACTTCATACATTGCTCACTGAATAAACATGAGACGACAGATTTATTCAAGTTTGAATCATGCACCTTCAAAAATTTGATTTCCAGTCTAAAGTTCAAGTTCAAATTTGATTTACGGTCTGCAGTTCTGCAGTTCGATGAAGTCTTTCAATTGGGCTTATTTTTATTTTCTCTTTAAAAAATGAATTAATTTATTATGTGGCTTGCCACACAAGCAATCTCTCGCTCAGCAATTTCTTGCACTGCAATCGGGGGGCAAACATTTGAAACACGCCTTATTTATTTTAACAACTTCTACTCTTTCAGGAAGAGAAAAATTTTTAAATTGCGGACATTAAAGTTTGGACTTCATTACTTTTACACAAGTTACATTTAACACTTTTTTCTTCGGATAAAAAGACATTCGAGACCTTTTTTTTAAAACGCGAATTCTGAAACTTTTGCCGTTTATGACCTTTATGCCGTTTAATTTCGTTTCCGTTACAAAGTTTCGTAAAATATTATATTCACTTTTACCCTTCGAAGTTAAATAAATGTCATATTCTCGACCTAGCTGTTGTGGCTTAAAATATGATTCTCCTTGTTTAATTGCAAAATGTATCATCAATTCGCGATCAAGTAAACCGATTATTTTATCTGATACAATTAATTCACATAATGATTTAAAATCACTCACTCTACGCAACTGACAATAATACTCAAATGTAGCACTTAATCTTGACGCAAATTGTACAGAACTCTCTGAACGTAATTTTTGAGGTCTTTGAAAATTGTTTAAACACTCTTGTGGCGTTGGCTGAAATTCTTTCAACACTACTGTTTTAAGCTTATCATAACTGCGCAAGTCTTCTTCAGTCAAATAGACCATGAAATTATTCACTCTCTCACCCAGAATACTTAAAACAATTTCCGATTTTAGTTCATCCGACACACTTTTGGTTTTAAACGCTTTCTCCAGGAATTGGAAACAAAG